AATCTCAAATGTCTTTTTCTTTTTCATTTTAATTAAGTAAAAGGATGAGAAGTGTTGAAGAAGAAAATGCAAATGCAAACAGGATTATTGATTACTAATTTCATTTATGAGTCAAACAATGCAGCTACATTCTTTAAATGTGAAATATGCTAACAATTTGCTTCCATAGGTCGCCTCTTGGGGAACTTCCACTGCTGTTTGCGGCGGCGGAAGGCGTTTTTCCACGTACGTAATCCAAACTGTAGGCACCAGAATAATAAAAGCAAACATATTTTTCCGTCAGGTTTAAACATTTTAAGTTAATTTAGGCCTTGAGGAGTGCGTCCCACGTATCCGATGCTCAGGAGCTCATGACGCGCTGCTTCAGCTACTCAGACGTTCTGCTCCTGCTGTTCAAAATACGCTGCAGGACCATTTGCTGCGCCTTGATGCACGTTAACTTTTGCTTGTAAACTAGCAGCTTCTGCCTCCTCTAGCGAGTGCGGTCTGAACGTAGCATGAAAGCCGAGGATGAATTAAATTCCTAATGTCTCTACATGTTAAACCAGGAGGAGAAAATCCTTCAAATTTACTAAATTGTGGGGTTTTTTTTTTATCAGTTAGTGATATTTAAATCTAAAGGGAATAAAGCTGATGAAGACTCTCAGTCATCCAGGTCATAGTCATTCCATAAAAGTTTAAAAAACAATCCACTGGACTTGGTTTCCAAGATTTGAAGACATTTCGCTAACTCTCCAGAAAGCTTTCTCAATCTTCTATCTCTAATTTCAATTTTCTAAAAATTTCTTAAAGGGAATAAAAGCTTAATATTAAAACTCCACGTCTAAATAATCTATAAAAGCTTCAGCTTTTGAAATGAGGGAAAATTAATGTTTAACTTTTATATAAAATTCTAATTTTATGGGTAATTTGGACCCTCTGTGGATCACAGAAAATAAACTCCTCCTAGTTTTTGTGCTTATAAATCTAGGTGAAGCTCTACACTGCAAAAACGATCTAGAAATAAGTAAAATTTTCTTAAATTAAGTGTATTTACCCTTAATTTCAGTAGGTAAACAAGACGATCTGCCAATGGAATGAGTGTTTTTACTCTTAAAATAAAATAATTAGATAATATGCACTTAAATTAAGACAATGCAAATGTTTTTCTTATTTTAAATGTAAATTGTCTTGTTCCATTGGCAAAATGTCTCACTTACCTCCTCAATTCAAGACAAAATGCACCTTTTTTAAGAAAAAATTACTTTAAATAAAAAAATTTTGCAGTGTATGTCCCTTCACGACGAGGACAAGCAGATAAAATAAGTCATAAAAAGGAAGCATTGCTGCCGTACCTGAAGAACTGACGCTCTGGACCTTAAAGGCCATCAAACAGCTGTTGCTGCAGAACATGTTCACGGACTCGTCGCTGTTTTTGTTGCTGGTCATCTGGTGGAGCATCTGCGGAGTGCGGCACATGGTGCACTGCAAAATCACCTTTGTTTTCTGGCAGGGAATCAAAGAAGGAGGAAGTTAGATGTTTTTGAAGTTTCTGATCATCTTCTGGGAAGTTTCATCAGTTAAAGGAGGCAGACGTCACTGAGCAGATCATCATTAAAGCTTTCAGGTACCTCCTTATATTTGGCCAAACAGTCCATGTTGCACAGTGTTTTGCTGCTATCGTCTAGCTTCAGCATGACGGGTTTGCTCTGGCAGTACGAGCCACAGTTGGCGCAGCCGGCCATGGTCAGGTTGTTGAGGGTGCGGAAACGGTTGAAGCAGGAGTCGCTGCACATCTTGTGAATGGTGCCCCTCAGTATCACCTCGTGTTTGCTCTGCAGAGAGTCGGGAGAAACGTTTACCAGTGATCGCTGGGTGAACAGAGGCCGGCGATGGTTCTGTGAGCTGCAGCTGAACTCACGGTGCTGAATCTGGAGCACATGCTGCAGAGCGACTGGGTCTGCGGGGTTTTTGGCGGTGCATCTGCGGGGCGGAGGCTGAGCCCCTGTTTCTTGTAGTTGAAGGAGTTCATGCAGCTCTGGCCACAGAACTCCTTCATGGTTCCGTTGGTGTCTGAAGCTAGAACCACATCCTGAGGCCGAGTGATCGACCTAAAGAAAAAAGCCAAGTCAGGGTTAGCTGAGGAGGAGTAGCTCACTAAGTAGATTCAAGCTGGAGTGCTGAGTCATGGTTACTTTTGGCAGTTGTTACAGAGCTTCGATCCTCCTTTGGATGGAAGCGACGAAGTGAGGCAGGCGGTGGAGCAGAACAGCGCCGGGGAGCCCTTCCTCTGGAAAGCCGTCTGTCCTTTAAGCAGGTTCTTCCTGCAGTTGGAGCAGGACATGTGGACGGATGACGGGCTGATGCAGGGACGCGTGTCTCCAGAGGGAGTCACAGAGTACACCGAACCGATCCTCAGGTCATCCTGTCAAAAAGAAGAATGACTGGATTAATGGAGGACTAGAGTAAAGTTTTAAGCCAGGAGGCTGGTCTTCAGGTCAGAGGAGAATTAGCCAACAGTTACTACACTTTGTGATGTGAATGTTGTCCACGCCGATATTCATGTTCATACAAAAAAATCAGCAAATGTCAGCGGGTGAAGAAAAACAAAAAAAGCCTGAGGAAATCTGTTCCTCTGCAAAAAAATTATAGGTTTGCTGCCTTTAAGAGATGTGGACCATGAGGAGTAGGGGTGTAAATCACATCCATCATGGCGATTCGATTCAGTATCGATTTCCTGACCCAACGATTCGATTATTTTCGATACTCAAGAATACACCACGATACGATTCGATTATTTATTTTTTTTTACCTTACAGGCTAGACAATGTTTCAAATTTGAAATAAATCAATGAAAGCTGTAATATCGTTACGCATTTTATTTTTTTTAGAAACAACAGCAAATAACAGAAGTAGAAAAGTGTTGGACGCCACACAATCCATTGCTAACGTCTGTGACCTGAAGTAACCCTTCCCTTTTTACACTGAATTTAGACGCAGATTTTAAGACGGTGAAATAGAGCCAGTTGAATCTCAGGAGGCTGAAAATATTGAGTTTGAATTTTGAAAGGTTGAATTTTTTTATATGCAGATATTTTTAACACTGAAAAATTAAATAACATTTTAACTGTGTAGAAATAATGACAATGAAATCAGTGCAATGAGTGCAATGCAATACCTCGGCTCCAGACGTCCCGCCCCTCCACAGACGCTCCGCTGCTCCTCTCCCTAATTGTAGCTGACCGCAGACAGGAGGCCAGCTTGTTTTGTTTTTATGACCGAAATTGCGTAAAACGACTCGTGAAGTTTGCCCGCTAGAAGAGCGAGGTGCGCGAGAACGCTGTGACCCTTTTCCCTCCTCGATCTCCGCTCTTTTTGGCCCTCATGTCCCTCTGTCGTCGGACTAAACTCGCCCCCACTTCCTCGCCGCCTCCGCCGTATCTAGACCCACAGCGTGTAGCACAGACCACGCTTCAATATTGAGCATAAATCAAAAATGTCTGCATCAAGCTCACTGCAACACACNTAAGACAATGCAAATGTTTTTCTTATTTTAAATGTAAATTGTCTTGTTCCATTGGCAAAATGTCTCACTTACCTCCTCAATTCAAGACAAAATGCACCTTTTTTAAGAAAAAATTACTTTAAATAAAAAAATTTTGCAGTGTATGTCCCTTCACGACGAGGACAAGCAGATAAAATAAGTCATAAAAAGGAAGCATTGCTGCCGTACCTGAAGAACTGACGCTCTGGACCTTAAAGGCCATCAAACAGCTGTTGCTGCAGAACATGTTCACGGACTCGTCGCTGTTTTTGTTGCTGGTCATCTGGTGGAGCATCTGCGGAGTGCGGCACATGGTGCACTGCAAAATCACCTTTGTTTTCTGGCAGGGAATCAAAGAAGGAGGAAGTTAGATGTTTTTGAAGTTTCTGATCATCTTCTGGGAAGTTTCATCAGTTAAAGGAGGCAGACGTCACTGAGCAGATCATCATTAAAGCTTTCAGGTACCTCCTTATATTTGGCCAAACAGTCCATGTTGCACAGTGTTTTGCTGCTATCGTCTAGCTTCAGCATGACGGGTTTGCTCTGGCAGTACGAGCCACAGTTGGCGCAGCCGGCCATGGTCAGGTTGTTGAGGGTGCGGAAACGGTTGAAGCAGGAGTCGCTGCACATCTTGTGAATGGTGCCCCTCAGTATCACCTCGTGTTTGCTCTGCAGAGAGTCGGGAGAAACGTTTACCAGTGATCGCTGGGTGAACAGAGGCCGGCGATGGTTCTGTGAGCTGCAGCTGAACTCACGGTGCTGAATCTGGAGCACATGCTGCAGAGCGACTGGGTCTGCGGGGTTTTTGGCGGTGCATCTGCGGGGCGGAGGCTGAGCCCCTGTTTCTTGTAGTTGAAGGAGTTCATGCAGCTCTGGCCACAGAACTCCTTCATGGTTCCGTTGGTGTCTGAAGCTAGAACCACATCCTGAGGCCGAGTGATCGACCTAAAGAAAAAAGCCAAGTCAGGGTTAGCTGAGGAGGAGTAGCTCACTAAGTAGATTCAAGCTGGAGTGCTGAGTCATGGTTACTTTTGGCAGTTGTTACAGAGCTTCGATCCTCCTTTGGATGGAAGCGACGAAGTGAGGCAGGCGGTGGAGCAGAACAGCGCCGGGGAGCCCTTCCTCTGGAAAGCCGTCTGTCCTTTAAGCAGGTTCTTCCTGCAGTTGGAGCAGGACATGTGGACGGATGACGGGCTGATGCAGGGACGCGTGTCTCCAGAGGGAGTCACAGAGTACACCGAACCGATCCTCAGGTCATCCTGTCAAAAAGAAGAATGACTGGATTAATGGAGGACTAGAGTAAAGTTTTAAGCCAGGAGGCTGGTCTTCAGGTCAGAGGAGAATTAGCCAACAGTTACTACACTTTGTGATGTGAATGTTGTCCACGCCGATATTCATGTTCATACAAAAAAATCAGCAAATGTCAGCGGGTGAAGAAAAACAAAAAAAGCCTGAGGAAATCTGTTCCTCTGCAAAAAAATTATAGGTTTGCTGCCTTTAAGAGATGTGGACCATGAGGAGTAGGGGTGTAAATCACATCCATCATGGCGATTCGATTCAGTATCGATTTCCTGACCCAATGATTCGATTATTTTCGATACTCAAGAATACACCACGATACGATTCGATTATTTTTTTTTACCTTACAGGCTAGACAATGTTTCAAATTTGAAATAAATCAATGAAAGCTGTAATATCGTTACGCATTTTTTTTTTTAGAAACAACAGCAAATAACAGAAGTAGAAAAGTTGCACTCCATACATTCTGAAAGGCTTTGAAGCATAAAATACTGCACAAAATTAGTGCAATTAGTGCAATGCAATACCTCGGCTCCAGACGTCCCGCCCCCTCCACAGACGTTCCGCTGCTCCTCCGACAGGAGGCCGGCTTGTTTTGTTCTTATGACCGAAATTGCGGAAAACAACTCGTGAAGTTTGACCCGCTAGAACAGTGAGGTGCGTGAGAACGCTGGGAGCCTTTTCCCTCCTCGATCTCCGCTCTTTTTGGCCCTCATGTCCCTCCGTCGTCGGACTAAACCCGCCCCCACTTCCTCGCCGCCTCGGCCGTATCTAGACCCACAGCGTGTAGCACAGACCACGCTTCAATATTGAGCATAATTTAAAAATGTCTGCATCAAGCTCACTACAACACACTGCTGTAAGAGTATAACCAGGAAGCGAGGGCAAAATAGGTTTAGCGCCACCGCAGCACGGGAGGGAGAATTACATCCAGGAGCAAATGGATAAAAATAGACCGGAAAAATACACCCCTAATGAGGAGGAGAAAAAAATCTTCATCACCGGTGGATGGAGGGCAGAGCAAAAGGTGGAGGGGCGAACCCCGGAGAAAAGCATGTGACTTAAGAGAAGATAAAATGAAGCAAGATCAGGTCCAGAGAAAACAGAAGAAAAGAAAGTTGTTTGAACCACGACTGCTGATATTAATATTCTGAAGGTAAAATGTCTAACAGAGGGTCAAATAAATAAAGTGCTGGTTATTGGAAACAAAAAAAACAATAAATTAAGGTGGAGTCTCTATCCATGGTGCTGAACCTCTCATCTTTAATAAAACATCTCTAATTTGTTGTGTATGATAAACTAATTCATTGTTCATGTGAACCTACATGAAAAAAAAACTGTTTACAGGTTGAAACCACATCAATTAAATAATGTGATGTTAAATAAGTATTAGAAAATTTGTTAACCATTTTTTTTTTTTGGTTTTTCAGTGCCTTGTTTTTTTATTTCCACTTGTTCCTCCTTTTCCCCGAGGGATCCAGCTACAGCCTGTTTGTGCTACAGAAGCAGAGAATAACAAACGTTGCTTTTGGTCCAAGGACACTTGTGAAAGATAAGGAGGTTCAGGTCCAAAGGGAGGATCTGGCTTTGTTAAGGTGTGTGTTGCAAAATGCAGACTGAGGAGACAGTGTATCTTTAGAACAGATGAGCTAACCGAGGTGGTATGCTTTCTGTTCAGTCTCTCAGGATACATCCAACGATGAATCAAACAACTCCAACTCCTGTTTATTTTGATTTCTTCTCTACATCATGTAATCCAAAACATATAGAAATATTTTATTTAAATAAAATATGTAAATAATAGTTTTACAACTTTTGATGGGTCCAAAAGGTATACATATTTACTTCTGGTAATAATACCAAAGTCTACACCAAAAGATTCTGCATCAGTAGGAATAGTAGGTTAAAGTAATGCGAGACGGAGCTCAGGCGTCGCCAAATCTTTGTAGCTCATGATAGAGCTGCAAAATGGTGTGAAAATAAATCACAAGATTGTATAACAAAACAAGAAGAGTGCATTCAGAAATCACAACACTGCAATTCTTAATTAAAACAGTGCCTTTAATAACCGAGAGAGCACATTGCTCTGCTCACAGGCAAATACAGTTATTCCTGGGCTCTGATTGCAGCACAGTCGAGCAAAACACGCCCCCACCCTCCTGTTTTCTCTTGCAGAAAAATGACGTTCGCTCCGTTTAGTCGGCGTATTTGTCAGTCTGGGCTGTAACTATTCTGACGGATCTGATTGGTTAAATTTCCAACTCATATCATATCTGATGGCGGGCCCTATAAAGAAGAACCTTTGTTTGGTTCAAAACATGGAACAACAAGCAGGACTATCGTATTTTCACGACCATAAGGCGCATATAAATGTCTTTTTTTCCCTTAAAATGTGCGGCGCGCCCTAT